TGGGATGAAGCCTCAGGCTCGTGGGGCTCTGGGATGCGCTCTGGCAGGCATTTCTGCTGCCTTGTGTTCTGCAGGGAGATAGGAACTCCTATCTCAGGTTCAAGGATGGAATATGGAAACCAGGCCCTCGGGGTCAAGCACTTAAACTCTTGGGTGACCTTCCTGAATAAACTTGCTTATCATTCATGTGGGAATGGTAACTATGGGTTCAGCTATGGGTTACACTTTTCTCTATATCGTTATACTCAAGGCAGATATTCTTCCAAGCTTCTTCCTGGTGGAAGTACTCAACTCATAGGCCTCCTCAGGTCTACTTCAGCTGGAAAAACCCAACTCATTGGACTCCTCCGGTCTACATGTTTTCACTACTATTTTGTCCTTCTTATCAAATTCCTCCAAAACCCTTCCTAGAATTTTTCAGACCACTGCTTGGATGATTCCTGAGAAACAAAGCTGCTGAGAGGGGAGAACTGAGCCGACATGCGATGGGATGCAGGAAAGGGAAGTGTATGCATGAGTCTAAGAAGGAAAGGACTTGGGAACGAGAGCTGTCGATGCTGTGTGATAGTGTCCCTATGTGAGATGGAGTTCGTCTGTGGGTGTGAGAAAGGAGTTTTTGGAAGTGAGCAAGTGTGGGCGTGAGGTGTGTGTGAGAGTGTGCATGCATTTCCATCCCCACACTTTGAAAAACTTTTTGGAGCGCTGCAAGTGTTCGAACAGGCCCCAGTTCCCAAAATAATCAACCCATCTAGAGAAGTTACAGAGCCTGTGGACACCTGGGTTTCCATGCCATGCCTCGAAATGAATTTTAAGCAGCCGATGGTGGCTGATGCAGCTGTGCTGTGCTGCAGTGAGTGGCAGCAAGGTGTGCTGGAGGTCAGGGCAGGTGCAGAGGGATGTCTAGGGCAGCATAGACCCAACTCCTCACCTTGACAATGAGATGGGGAAGCATTGTGTCTTCTTCCTCACCTCCACCACTATAATGAGGGTGGTGAAAAATCATAGAATCATTAAGATTGGAAAAGACCACTGAGAACATCGCACCCAACCGTCAACCCATCCCTACGTGCCCGCTGGCCATGTCCCTCAGTTCCACATCTCCACAGTTCTTGAACACCTCCAGGGATGGTGGCTCCACCACTTCTCTGAGCTGCCTGTTCCAATGCCTGGCTACTCTTACTGAAAAGACTTTTTTTCTATTTTTTCCTATGGTCATAGACCCATAGGGTCAGGGCTCGGCTGAGTTCACAAACTTCCAAACTTAAAAAAAAAAAAAAAAAAAAAGAGGGTGAACTCATCCCTGTTTTTATGTTGGTGTGATAGGCTTTATTGTGTTCTCCTTCCAGAGCCAACACTGTGCTCAAAACCAATGCAAGCACCACGTGTTCAGTCTGATGTTGCTGCTCTTCGGAGCTGTGTCCCTGGATGAAAATGCATGGGCGGCACGTACAGCATGTAAACCCTTTTTTTATCCAAAACCATATGTGTTCTGGCACCACTGCAAGGGGATAGGGCTTCTCCTCCTGTGTCAGCATTTCCCCACATCTCTAGCCCCAACATGTGTTCACGATGGGGGAAATGTGGGCTCAGGTCCCTTTGCTGTCAGGAAGGATTCGAGCTACATCTCCCACTGTGCTCACCTATCACTCTCCTGGGGCTATGCGAGGAGGTGGCAGGTTGCTCTTGGCTCCCACTGTTTGGGGGAAGCTGTTCCACTTTGCAGCAGGGAAACACCAAACTCAGTGGGTCAGCAAGAAAGAACAAGCAAGGCTGTGTTAACGCTTGGGGAAATTCACCTGGGAGCGGGGAGGACGGAGTTCCCGTTCCTGCTCCAAGGACTGTTTATGTATTTTAAAATTAAACAACCCATGGGTGCTGGTAACTGGAATTCAGGTCTCCCCACTCCCAGGGGAGTGCCCCAATCCCAAGGCTGCGGAGTCATGCTCACTCTTGCCCTCTGGAGCTTCAGGTTTTGATTCCCTTTTTTTTTTTTTCCCCTTTCCACCCTGCTGCATAGCTTCCCCAGAACAAGGCTGTCAGCCCCTCTCCAGGCTGTTGGGCAGGGGCACTGCCCACGGTGGGCAGGATTTGGAGGATTTCTCCCTCCTACGTCAGAGGGAGCTGCGGTTTCCCACACCCAGGGAATACTCTCTAACCTTTCAGCTGTTAATTGGGAAAAGAGAACTTGAGTTTTACCTCCTACTCCCGTGTGTTATAAGAATGGTGTGTGATGTGGTAGGCATGCGATGCAAACACCTACACGGGCCAGACCTCAAAGGTGACACAGGGAAAGAACAACACATTGGCCAGGCTAAGCCTACGTGGACTGAGGCACTTCTGAGCACGTCCCAGTGCCATATTTCTGGACTGGGGACCCTCATTGTAAAAATGGAGTTTTCTCATAGACTCCAGTGCCTTTAAGGTTACATGGTAGGCGAGCAAGGATGTGAGAATGAAACTTTGGGCATGCTTGATGGATTTTGCCATATGGACTCCAGTGTGAAGTACTCTTACTGTTGATTTATCTTGATCAAAGCTCCTGCAGTCTTCAGTGGCAGCAACCCTTCAGTGAGGCCCCTTGGAAAGCAGCATGGTCCAAAGCTG